CCCCCCTTTTTTTTTTTTCAGGGATTAAATTTGTTAAAATATTTAATGGCACCCTTTTTGAAAAAAAAAAAAAAAAAAGAAATGGCCTTGAAATCTTTTTTTTTTTTTCTTTTATTGCAAAATTTCACCTAATAAAAATGAAGAAAACTTTTAAATTTAGTTCAGTTATGCAGTGGGGACAAAAAAAATCTGAGGTTAAAAAATAATTTATTCTAATTTGTTCACGACTTTTTTAATGATATGCTTTTAAAGTGAAGTAAAATGAAAGCTGCGATTTAAACATACAGTCCAAGTTATTCAATCATGAGTTGAATTTGATTAGGTTGCTAAATATATATATATATTTTTTTTTTTTTTTTTTTTTGCAAATGCAGTCACTCTGTTGGATCGAGAAATATGAAGAGTAAACTTTCCATTTGAGTGTCTCGTTCTTTTTGTTTTTTTGTGGCGCTGTTAAAAAAAAAAAAAAAAACTGTTAACAGCAAAGGTCAAACCTCCTGGGATTAATTATCAGCATTAATGCTTCTCCTTGATTTATGTGGTTTTGCAGCAACAGTTTCCACTGCCTGAATATTTAGACTCAGCCACAGTTTATTTCTGCTATTGGAAGCCAGGAGGTTTAGTTTAGTGCTCCCTGTTTTACTGTTGAGATCAAAATCCTCCAAAGTTGATCTAGATCTACATAAAACAGATTCACAATACATGGTAGATTTTTAGAACAGAGGGACTGACAGTAAAATTTATGTATTTAGAAATTGGTTTGTGTTTTAAACTCTTGGACATAATATTCCCAGAAGACTTTATCTCTTTGTCTCCGGGCCCAGCCTCTCCCCCGACAGCTTTAAACACAGAACCAGAGTTCCAGATCTGTCCCAGCAGCCTCTTCCTTCTTTTTCCTGGTCTTTCCCCAAACATTAGAGATTAAGTCACACACTTTTGACCTTGGCCGTGAAGATTTCAAATGTAACACAACAGTAAAGGATCACGTATTTGTGTGAGGGAGGAATCTGTGTGTGCAATGAAGCATTCAAACTTTCCTGTAAATGGAAACCAGATAGTTTATGAGCTTCACGTTGTGTTTTGATTTGGGAGTTTTTCCCCTTCATGCTGAGGGATCACACTTCAGTTATTTTCCCCGTCTTTTGATTTCTCTCTTGCAAACACATTCGCACCGTATCACTGTACTTCACTTTTTGTCACTTTGCAGCCATAAATTGAAATGTATATTAAGATTTTATTTGATACATCATCAGAATAATAAATTAGAAGATATCAGGTATGTGATTTAAAAAAAATATATATATTAGTTTGCTAATAAAAATCTAACAAGTCCAATTTTTATTTACTCTGCAAATAAAAATCTAAAAGCCCAAGAAAACCCCTCTTTGCTCGGATGCTTTGAAACAAAATCCACCTGTATATAATCTAATCTCGACGTAAATCCAGGTGTTCTGTGAAGACCTCCAAGGTCTGTTAGAGAACAAACAACGTCGTGAAAACTGAGGCACACAGGGTTGTTTCCAGTCTTTGAACATCTTACAGAGCACCGTTCCTGATAGGATTACAGCTGCAGTCAGCATGGATAACACATAATGGAGTTTGTGGCTCAAAACATGAAACATCTGAAAGGGCTTTGAGGGATCTGAATACTTTTGGAATAACCTGTCCTTTGTAAAGCAAGGCGTGAACACAAATGTTCACAGCTGAACTCATAAAGAGTTGGAAAAGTCGAAACTTCTCATCTACTCCTACAACATCCTTCAGCTTCTTTCCACTGGATTCGTGTGAATGGTTGTGGTCTGAAGCGAGGTTAGACTACCCTCGGCTGCTACCGACACTGTAAATCTCCCGTTTCAAAACATCACCTGCCAGCGGGAACAAACACAGAGTAATTCCCATCCACGTACTTCCCACGCTGCCTGGAAATGGCGACACGCCATTGCCAGAGGTGAATACAGGGAAGGTGAACATCCCTGTGGTTTTTCTAAACACAATTGGGTTTTTTTTATTTGTTTTTTATGGGGGTTGGGGGGAAGTTAACAGTTATTTCTTTCACCGGATGACGTGGGAACTTAAATCCCTCTTTTGTGGGTCAGTCGTTTACATTTTGGAGTTGAGCATTCTGTTTTATTTATATTAATTACCGACTGCGGCCTATGCTGGAATCTGAGCTTAAAACAAAGACACGGGGAAAACTCTGGAAGTCTCGTTGACTCATTTTCTCCTAAATTCTTACCACCAGAGCCTGACGTTGCTTCCAGCGACGCAGCCAACATGGAGTGCAGACTTCACAGAGACAAAACCACCTACATCATAAACGGGAAAAAGTGGTGGAGCAGCGGTGAGTACGTCAAACGTTACTTGATCCTCTATAAAAAAAAAAAAGGTTTCTGTCCTGTTTGGGAATCAAAATGCACCCAGAACACTTTGAGCTTAATAAACGCAGAACAAGTAGTTTTATTTGGAATAACAGAGCTCATTTAAGAGCGTTTCATAAATGGAATAGACTCATAAAACAAGAGAATGTTTTTGCAAGTATAATCCTGAAAATTTTATTGTCCAACCCGAAGGTTTGTCTCTCGGAGAGAACAAGTTGTAGATGTAAACAAGATGTTGTCCATACTTTCTAAGCGGAGCCTTAAAGAGATGCATATGAACTCAAAGTGCTTTCATATGGACCATAAAACTTATACAGATGACTCATGCAATGCTTATTATATAACATAAAACTTTTTTTTAATGAGCTCAAAAGTGTTGAATGTGGTTTGTTTTTTTTTTGTTTGTTTTTTTTTTTGTGTGAAAAATAGGCTTTTAGTTTGCCAGAAGATAAACATGGAAAAAGGTCATGGATTCCAAGTGTTTTAAGGAATCTTTCTGTGTGAGTCAGGGGAAGTCAGTGTTACCTCTGATGCGAGTCATTCAAAAGCAGTGAAGTTGGTTAAAAGAAAACCGAAGGCAACAGGTTTAATCGGTAAATGTTGAAAGGCTTACAAGCACTGCCCCCATTCAATTTTTCATTTCATTTTTATTTGTACGATTCTTTTTTTTTAACAGTCGGTTTCTAATTGGCTTTAAAAACAAACAAACTACATTTTAAATATTTACTGAATAAGAAAATGCTGAACAGGATGATGTCACACAAGGCAACCCCAAACTATTAATTTGAGAACATTTTCTTAATGGGGGCACCATTAGCAGCACCTGTAACATTTAAACCTCAAGTATGTTTATAACAATGCCCTTAACACACTCCAGCAGGATTTAATTTTCTTCCCAAACTAAGCCAGGTGCAGCAGCTTTCACATATTGTGGCAGCTGTGGTAGATAAAACCTTTAAAAAAAAAAAATTAAAAAGTTTTTATTGCATCAGCAGAAACCCAGTAAAAATGTAAGCCTTAAATTAATAGTGTGTTTATCACATAGGGAAAGAAATCCCATGTTAAATAGATGATTTTTAATCCACAATTATTGGTGCGATTAATAATATATATTTACTTTATTTAGTATCCAGGAGCTTTTAATTATGACCATCTGTTTCCCTGACGCGTGAATATGATGCAACACTTTTCAAAATGGGAAAGGTAACAGAGCATGCCTTTCCAGTGCTGCAGAATGTGATAAGTTTAATGAAAGATACTAAAAAAAAAAATCTAATCTGACCATTTTTTATGTTTTATTTTAATTGTTTGGTTGCATTAGTAAGGCTAATGATGTATGTCTGTTTCCGACATGGATGTTTGCAGTCTTTAGAAATGTTTTGCCTTTTCAGGTCATTACCAGTTGAACAGATTTATTACCGGTAACATAGATTTATTTATTTATTTTCCTAAGCAGTTTTGTGATCATTTGTATTTGGTCCAAATGGCTAATACAGCAGGTTAATTTCTTCTGCTGTCACAATTCAGCACGTAAATTTCAACAAAAAAGTTAAAAAATTGCAGCTTCTCTTCTGGGTGGGTTGTGCGTTTGTGACACAGACTGTCAGCAACTCCTCAAGAAATATTTCTTCATAAAAAAAATATACTGAAACATTGTTTACTGAGGTAGTGAAATTTGTTAACTTTGTTAGCACCAAACAGCTTGTTGGCTGCTTCACAAGACAGACATATGGGAGCTAGGATTTAATGTGCAGCAGTGTTACAACTCCTTTTCATGTCCCCCCCCCCCCAAATAGTAAAATCATCACCTGTGCAGATGCATCTGTTTCTTTTTCTACAGTGAAACTGTAGCTACTGCCTTATAAAAACGTA